ATAATATATATATATATATATATATATATATATATATATATATATATATATATATATATATATATCTATCAGTTAACCATTGGTTTTTCTTTTAGTTTAACTAAAAACCAAACTAGTATCACCAATTTTTGCAAAACACCAAACCAAAAGTGAACCGATTAGTTTAGTTAAGCGGATATTTTGGTTTGTCTTCCTCAGTTTGGTTTGCTTTTTTTATTTTTGTTGAACACCCCTAATGAAGACTGCATAAAAGGAATTTAAAATGGGTAATTTGGTTATTTTACCACCCACTATAGCGTTAGTTAAGAGTATTAGACTTAAAAGTGCTGATTTTTTAATGTCCTAAGCCTTGCTAAAGGGGTGGGAGTCTATTGAGGCCAGATCTTTTATTCCCAACCTTGCCTCTAGGGTGTCAATTAGATTGGATTTGGTCTAATCCGATCCAGTCCAATGTGAGTCAATTATAATTGGACCAGGTCCAATCCAATCCAATGAATATTTTAGACCAATTTGAATCGGTCCAATTCAATATCTGGACCATTCAATCTGTTCAAATTCATTTTGATTTAGATTGGTTTCAACCCAAATCCGGTCTATTAACACATATATTCTTTATCTTATATCAATGGAGCAGATATTGGCTTAATCCAATCCAATCTAATATAAATTTGTTACAAACGGACCAGATCCAATCCAATATGTCTTGTTGGTCCTTCTAATCCAAAACTGGTCTATTGACACCCTTATTTGCCTCGGCAGCTTTTTAAAACATTGGATATTTCAGGGTTAGGTTGGATAAGAAGGATCTAATAATTAAACCTAAATCCTTTAAAATAGCATTTTAATGGGTTCAAAAACTGGTAAACTGATATGCTGGATTGTTTCAACCTTCGTTCCATTATATCAGATTTAGGGCTGCAACTTGGGTTGGGTTAGTTTGAATCTAACCTGAAAAAATAGGATTGGCTTGGATCGGATTGATATTTAGGTTAGGATTGTCCTTTGGTAATCCAACCCGATCTAACCCAAACCCAGCTCTACTATAGCCATTGTGCATGTGAATTATTAGGGTTAGGTGGTGTAAGTTGGGCCGGGTTAGGTCAATTGAGGTCAACCCTTTGGGTTTTGACTGGGGAGACTTCTCTGTTTTCTTTTGTCAAATGTTCTTATTCCTAGACTGAAGAATTGAGGTTAATTCAGCTTTAACATTATTATATGTAAAAGGATATAGTTATCATGTTTTGAAAAAGCAAACTGCATTTAAACTTAAAATTGTTAGCATACATATATACATTTTTGCATATTCATACATAAATACATATGTCGATACATGGTTGCACATATACATACATGATACATGAACATGTACATGTACATGCACATGTGTTGTCTCATGTTGTGCCTTGCCTTTGGGCGATGCTGGGCTGTGCCATTTGATAGGTCATGCCTTGGAGGCCTAGTCCCCTTTGTAGCCTAGGCTTGACACACCATGCCATGCTAAGCATGACCATCTCGTGTTGGGCCATGCGGGCCGCCACCAGCCCAACCCACATTACAATTCTAGGTCTAACTGTGACAAAAAAATGTGGGATTTATCTATATCTATATCTAGAGTTGGGATCTCTTGCTAACAAAACATGTTTCAAGACCCTACCAACATGATAATCTGACACGGCATATCTCATCATAGAATTGGGACCTACAATAAAAGTGAGACCCACTATATATAAGATATTAGTAGGGTGTTGAAACATGTTTTGTTGGCAAGAGATTCAGACTCTTATATCTGTTCCAGCACACTTCTTACACTATTTGACACCGTACATCTTATGCACAGTATCAGATGTGTGGTGTAGATCTGGTTGGAAGTGTATTGGAATGGCTTTAATGAAACATCTTGCGGTCGAGAAATATATATCTATATATTAAAATGCAATGTGCTAAATTAGCACTTTCTTGCTCTATGGTTTATTTTAAAAACCACTTATCTCTTTTCTGGTCTCTTCTCAAAGGCACTTATCTTTTTACTAGTATTTTAAAATTAAACAAAATAATTCAAGTGACCAATCAATTTTAAGAGTTTTAATGCTCCTCATTAAAATACCATTAACTCTCTCTCTCTCTCTCTCTCTCTCTTTCCTTTAATAACATCTCATTAATTACACCATTAACTCTCTCCTTCATCAATAACTCATGCCACTAATTCTTTCATCTCCATTACTCCATTAAATTGCATAAAATCCATTAACTTTATCTATGTATATCCGTTTCAAACTATCTATATAATATACATATTTTCATTAAAATATAATTATCAGTAAAGATTAATTATATTGAAATTTAAATATTCAAGGATATATTGCTGCACTAAATAAACTACTTCCATTTAAAATTATAATCCATTTATATTCCATTTGAAAATAATAAAAATTACTTAATCATAAATAATTTAGTAAGTTACTTAAATAACCATAATAATATATTTTTATTAATATAATAAAACGAATTTAATTAACAAAAGGAATAAGATAAATTAAAGGCGATTTTCAATTTAAAATTAATATAAAACTAATACAAAATTATCTAACAATTAATAGTTTTATAATTAAATTTTATTAATTTAAAACCAACTTAAGTTCCACTAAAAAAATTTATATAGTTAATTAAATTTCACACAAAATTAAAATTTAAACATAGTTTAATTATTTTAAAATCAATTTAAATTTCATTTAGAAATAAGGAAAATTATGAAAACCTCCTTAGCTTTTCTAACAATCCTATAAAACTCTCCTATGCTTTGACCTTAATAAAACCCCCTATTGTTTTGAAAAAAAGTGCAAATACCTTCCTTTAGTTAGCATTCCAAATAAAAAATGTTGATGTAATGCATTCATTTTACTTTACTTTAGCCTTTTTACATTTGTCCGAAGAGAGCAAGGAGAATTATTTTTTGAAAGTTTTCTAGCAAAATATATTGGTGAAGGATAAAGTTGAAACTTAGGCCCCGTTTGTAACAATGCAACTTATTTGGGTAAATGCACTTACCCATGTTTTTTTTTTATTTTTAGATTCCCAGGTAAATAATTAAATGACATTTTTACCTACAAAAAGTAACTATTAAAATGGGTAAAATGGTCCATCATATTATGTAAAAATTTCTCGCATGTGGGAAAGTCACTTATGCACCTAGGAGATAAGTAAGTTTTACCTAAGAAAGTAAGATTAGTTTTACTGTGGGGCCCATTGTTTAATGCAAAAAAAAACATGGGAAAGTTGGTCAACGGGAAAAAGTTATCCATAGACCAACTTTCTCATGCATATTTACCTACAAGTGAACAGGGCTTAAATTATGTATGATAATGCATTAAGAATGATAAGGGTATTTTTGGTAATTGTATTGTTACTAAAGAACAAAGGAAAATGAGGTATTTGCATTTTTTTGTCAAAACTATAAGAAGGCCTTTGTTAGGATCAAAACACAAAGGTGGTTTATAGAATTGTTGTAAAAGTTTTTTTTTATAATTTTATCTAAAAAAAGTACAAAATATTAATAAATCAATAAAAGTTAGGGAGAATGTTGGTTCAGCACAGGGTCAAAAATTTTAGGCCCAAAGTACAGTTGGGGTGGGTGCCAGCTCAGAATTAATGCCAATTCAGGGTGGGCATTGGTGTATAGAGTGGGGGTTTTTGACATTTTGAATGTTTATAGCTCTGTAGTAGAATTTAGAAATCTGCATTGGGTCTGTCTGTACTTTTCCATAAAAATTAATAAAAATCTTTTCCAAAAAATTAATAAAAATTAAGATTAAAATACAAGAAGTAATACAAATTTATACTAAAAATAAGAAATTGAGTACTCTCTCACTAAAATGCAATTTAGATTATGATAAGATAAACTATAAATAATCAAAAAAAATAAATTGAACTTAAATAACATCATTTAATTAAAAATGTCATAGAGCTGCCGGTAAATAAAGCCCGTGTCGCACGGGTCTTGACTAGTAAAACAAGTCAGTCAGATGGTTATAAATCTTCATACTGATGTTCGTGTTAGCTCTATTCGGTTGAACCCACCCGATGGCCCCACGTTTTAAGACAAGACGATATTTCCGGTCAGTCCGATCGTCCAGAGCCCCAGCAGCAAGACAGTCCCAAGCCAATAGAAGGAACCTGTCCCACCGAGGGATCTCTCTCAGATCACCATGGATTGAAGCGAAGAAAGTGTAGGACCCACCTCCGTACTGATTTAATGGTTTTTCGTTGATGTATGACCTAACTGGGATCCACGTCGTGACACTATTTGCTCCATGACAAATCACGTTGGGAATATTTGTTGAATCGTGTATGAAAATTAGAACATTTTATAGGTAGCAGGTTGCACGATTGAAGGATGGAGCTCCATCATGCTACATCCATCCATTCTAGAGATCATCGGGATGCACGGCAGTGTCCTATGATACTAAATAACCCGCGAAGTACTGTGCAAAGTTCTCTTGGAGGGAACTTCAAAACGTATGCTGGAATCTTTGCTGATCGAAACGGGACCCAGTCAAAGTTTAAATGAAAAACGTGAAGCTAAATGACCATAAAACCCTTACTAATTATTGTTAGTGATAAATAAGACAGACGTCGGTTAGGGCATTACGGTCATCGTATTAATCCTGTCATTTTTTTCTTTAAAATAATTAGGATAAATGCGTAAAATTAAGTCTTGATGTTGATTTAATTCCATAATCTGCTTGTTTAAGCATTTATTGTTGAATTCCTACCTAAAACCACTTTTCAGGTGAACGTGGAAAAACAAAAGAAGGAAAACTTAAAAGTGAATCAACTTCTGGACGAGGCGATCGGACGGTATTGAAAGAGTAATCCTCCTTGTTACATCATAATATGGTACGTCACCATCACTACATCGAGAAAGAGCGACGGCTTTGCCGCTTTGGTTTTCAACAGACAGAATCCGAAGTTGTTTATCTTCTTAATTAATTATTCTTGCTTAAAACTCAATTTAACGTTCTAGAATCATTGATTTCAGATAGCGAAATTCTCTGTCTTATTGGGAAATGAGTCTGAATTCTTCCCTACTTTAGCTAATTAGCTCTGCGATTTTTTTTATTTTATTTAAATTTTCTGTTCTTACGGTCTGAAGAGGAGGTGAAAGGTGGTCTCGTCGTCGGTTGAGAGTCTGCTTTTGTGGGGAGCAGGAGCAAGAGATGCGAATTATCGACATACTGAACAGCGGTGACGACGACACCGACGACGAGTGCGACGGTGAAAGAACCAGAAAGGGGGAGCATGTTGCGTGTTCTTTGCCAACGGGGATTGTCTCACATTGGTTTTATTTACTCAAGCGAGAGTCCAAGGGGAAAAGCAGCAGGTCCAAGGGTAGGTTTGCGTCGTCGAGGTCTGAAGAGAAGAAGAGAGACGATGAGTGGTGGAGGAAAGGAAAGAAGATTGAAAGAGAAGTTGGAGGGTCTCTGTTTTTGTGCAGTTCGAAGGATGGAGCAAAAGGTGAATCATCATCGTCGTCCGTCTCAGAAGATACTGCCGGTACTTCTAATGTTGTCGCTCCATTAGGTGATGATCAATACTCCAAAGAAATTGTTTTTTGTGTTCGTTTAAATTTGATATTTATCTTTAATTGGCTGTCTTTGTTTATTGGCTTAACTTTAATTTGTTGCAGAAATGAACACCTTTCCTTTGAATTGGTTATTTATTTATTTATTGTCCTTTACAAGGTATTATCGTGATTCTTACTGTTATATGCACATCTTAACGTTGTTTATGGGCTTGGAATATAAAATACGCTAGTTATGATTGTTTTTTAAATTTAGGAATTGTTGTTACTGAGAGTTTCCAAGAATTTTAATTTGAGGAAACCCTTTATAAGAGCGGGTCACTGTGATTTGAATTAGCTCAAGCTCAAACAGAATGTATGCTCAACCCACTTGAACTGGTTTAATGGTTAATGCTTCCTGAAAAAAACTAACTAGCCATAAAAATTGAACTTCATTGTTTCAAGTTTGCAATCAATTGCAGAATTTTTTTCCTTGATGATATGTGGATGGAGTCCGGAAATATCATACTTATATATTTTGAATATTTTAGTAAGAAAGTGACTTCTGTTTTGGGTTAATGATGGGTTGGATTTGGGAATGGAGACTAGGCTGCCAAGCTCTTCTCCATCATTTTGTGGAATTTGAAGTGTCCAGAATTTCAGGATTAGAATGACTGGAAGAGCTGTCATGCTGATTCTGTTCCCATGAAGAATTGTAAATAGAAAGGAACTTGACAGAAAGGCGTGAAATCTGAACATTGATAAAAAACATGTGAAATCTGAAGTGTTAATTCCACACGATTAAACACCAACATCTAAGCAAAAATGTTTTCAAATAATTTGAATTCAATGCAATGGAATATTATTTCCAAACTGTAAGAAACATTGTAATATTCAAGCATTGATTAACTCGAATTCAAACCCTAATATTTGTTTACCTAAGATTGATATGCCAAGTTTTGTTTGCGACTGTAAAGGAGAATTGGAAACAATAGTTTCATGGTTTTGCCACACGGATTCAGTTCCTTAAGGGCCTGAAAAAGTTGAGTAAAATACTGAAAAGAGTATGCCCCTTTAGTAGGTATGTTGGACATGAGCGCCGGTGTTGTCAAATGGTGAAGCGATAACTAGTCCTTTTTCTTTGGTAAAAGATAAATAATCATTTTGGCATCCCTAAATGATGCAATGATTAGTTGGTTCCCAGGTACTGACTAATGGACCATTAAAAGAGTTAGCTATATATTTAATATATTGATGGAAATTCATATATATGTTTATATTAGATTACAAGTATGTAATAAAGGAATGAAATATACCATTAGTTCATAGTAACATAAAAAGGAAGCATGGACTAATAGAAAATTATTACCTTTGTTTGTAGTGCAACTTTGACTACTCCAAAACCTGAATTGATCAGCAACGAAGAACTTAAAACTTCATCAAATCAGCACATTTTTCTTCTTAATTTTCTGAAATTTCTTTTTTTTTTTCTATTTTCATCAATAAGCTGAGATTATTGATAATACTACTGAAAGATGATTGCTAGTTGCTATATAACCTAAGAAATTACCCTAGGATTTAGGGCTTTCATTTAAAAAACCCATCACCTAGGTGACAAGGCTCCTCCCCCTGTCATCTAGATTCTAGCCTCACCTTGGCACCTTGAAAGCTATGCATTAGCCAACCATATGCCATATAAAGCAACTAGCATTCATATATCAAAATAAGGAACATGTAATATTATTTTAAACAATTATAAATAAACACAAACACATAAATCTTAAAAATAATCCATAAAAATAAAGCTTAAAAATAACTTTTTGGTCGACTAGATCGTCAACTAGTCAGTAGTTGTCTAGTCAACCTAGTAAATGCTTGCTAACTAGTTGATGATGCAGTCAGTACGGCCCTTAATTGACTAGTAGGTGAGTAGTCATTACTTTGATAACGTTTTTAAGTGCACAAATTTAGGGTTATTAGGAATGTGAGCCATCTGAAAGATAGGCCCATGCACTGAAAGAGATGTTTGGATCTGATTGTTTTTGCAGAAAACAGTTCTAAACTCTTGACTGAGTTTTGGAGCTAACTAAGATGGTATTTGACACCTGTGTATATCTACCATTGCATTGAAGTTAATCAGAAACACATTGAATGTCTAATTCTTCAACATTTTTCCTTAAACAAGTTTGCTACAGGTATATTTTGGCTATAACACTAGGTGTTGAAAATGTTAATATTTTTATTAGAAAAATTTGTTGCAGTAAGAAGAGGGCAACGCAGAAAAGCGGTTTGCCTTTTCATTTTCCAGTGTGCCACATCTTAGGGGGCCTTGTGGCAACAACCTCCTCCTTGACCAATTGTGACAATGGTAATTTTGATGGCTACAATCAGCCCCCTCACATCTAGAGTATGCTGCTATGTGAGCTTTTCCACATAAATGAGCATAAACAAACAATATTGTTGTATGTTAATGTAATGACAATGATGTGACTAATTATTTCAATGAAATGCAGATAAAGACTACAATGCCAACTAAACAAATTCTTCTTTGTGATAAATGGTAAAATAATATTGTATCGATATAAAGGAGGATGTGAAACCCTCAGGAATTTACAAAAGAGTGTATTACTATATGTATTCACAGGTCATACACAGAAGAAAAGGTCAAAAATGATAGTAGACCAATGATCTTTGAAGTTTGAAGCAAACAGACTGAATTCCCACAAAAACTTCAACACACCACCCCATCTTATTACTGTTCATTCAGTCTTTCAGTAATGGCTTTCAAGTGTGCAGACTTTCCTTGAAATACCCTGCCATTTCTTTCATTCTTGAAAACCCAGAAAATGACAAAGGGTACAGAATTCCACAGCCACTTTCCTTTAAAGCACCCCAAGTAGACAGAAAATCAGCAATAGTAGGGGGAGTGATCAACCGAATCTGAAATAGCTGCAGAAAGTGGCACCAGATCTGGTAGGTGACAGGACAGTGAATCAACGAATGATGGGCAGATTCAAGTGCTGATGTACACAGGCTACAAGCATTGTCCAACTCCATACCTCACTGCAATATATTATCAATGGTTTGGAACTTTGGATCATCTCCTTCCTGGCAGACCACATGAAGAAAATGATCTTGATAGGGACTTGGACACTCCAAATCCAAGACCAAGAGATCTTCTGAAATGAGCCAAGCAATTCCTTAATGCAAGACCTGTTAGAGAAGAAGATATAACTCTTCCACACCTACACCCTAGAGTCCTTGGGGTTGGGATGAAGACTGAAAGCATTCAGTCTACCGAATAAGGCATAGAGCATCTCCACCTCCCAATCATTCAAGTTACTGTAGAATCTAAGGACCCACACCAGCTGGTTAACTGACCCATCCTGTTAGAAGCAACGATGTGAAATTGTTCCTTTTATGTAATTTTGTTTCTTAAGGTAAGAATGGTCCTTATAAATTATAATTATTAAGTGTTTCACATGAAAAATACATAATCAGTTATCAGTGTTACGATACTCATGCACTGCCTAGAAACTACCATATACAAGGCACACATTTCTTCTTTGCTACCAGAATGCCGTTTAGTCTGTCAAAGTTAATTAGTGTATATGGATATCTGAGAAAAGCTGAAAATATATTGCTATTGTTTTCATACTTTATATGACCTGCTATTTGCTTCTTCTGGTTCTAAGATATTGAAATGTGCTGTAAATACCTATTTCTTGTATAGATAATTTTTCTACAATATACCAATAAAAAACATTTTTCTGCAATATGAAGTTGTAAGTTTAGGGATCATTATCCTAAATAACACAGTGTTTTTTTATAGATAAAAAGGATCTATTAAACCACAGAGAAGTCAATAAAGTCCTGTACATCAGGCATCCATGAAGGATAGGATAGAAAAGAAAAGAAGTCCTGATTTATAAATAATACATAATTGAATCTAGTATTTTATTCCAGTAGCCTCATTGGATCCCTTTTTTTTCATTTCTATGAGTTTCTTTATTTTGGTATTCATATCTTATCTTTTTTTTTTTATCTCAACCAAATATTATTTTTCCTTTCCCTTCCAGGAAAGCATATGAAGGATCTCTCAACCAAATATTATTTTTCCTTTCCCTTCCAGGAAAGCATATGAAGGATCTCTCCTTCAACCTAGGTCTGGGAGTTGGTCTGGCGTTTCTCGTTGCTGCAACAAAAAATGAATACCGTAAGATGATGGAGCTGCAAGCACAAATGGAAATTCTTCTTAAAGAAGCTAAAGATGGACTATGTAGGGGAGATGTAATATCTAAGAATTCTGATCCACATGATAACCTCCCTTGTTTCACCGAAGAGTCACATGGTGGTGGAAAGACAGATTACCATCTTTCTGTTCAAAATTGTGCATCATTTCAGCATATGGTAGATTCAGAAATTATCCCAGAATGTGTTGAGTTTTCAAAAGGTGATACACCTACAAGAGAAGGTGTAGTGGGAATGGATCTTCTGGAGGAAGAGATTCAATCCAAATTGGAACAAATGCAGATCAATTTGGATACTGGTGATGGGCATCTAGAAGAGCAATTGAGAGAGGTATGTTGCACGGATAGAATCAACCCCATTTTTCTTTTCCTTTTGTTGTAGTTCATTGCATGTCCTTTCTTTATGTGGACTGCTATTTCTTCTGTACTAGATCCGCTTTGTATACGTTGTTTACTAGCAAGTAGCAATTAGACCCATGCAATGCATGGGGTTGAATAGAAATTTGGTTTGGATTGGGTTGGCAATTTTGGGTTCTGAAATCAGTTTGGGTCCAAGACAGGGTTAATCTTGGATTGGTCCTTAACCTGACCCCCATCTAATTTATACCCCTGTTTTGTTAAGAGAGTCAAAAGGGGTCAAGAGAGATTTAAGAGGAAAGAAGGGATTTAATGGGGGGGGGGGAGGTTTATTGTGACTTCTTGTATTTTTAATGATTTACTAGGTTGCAGTTCATGGATCATCAAATTGTGGATCCAGTGAAGGGTCTTTACCTTTTCGAATGGTCCCATGTAGACAGTAGTTACCATATATTTCATGATTCATAGTCAAGTTTCTCTTGTTAGTTCCTTCTTAAGGAAAAATAGTGTTATGTTTTCCTTCTTTCATCATCTCTCAAATAGGAAACCTTCTCCCTTAACAGGCTTCATCTGTTTGAATATTGAGGAAAGATGATGCCACCTATTGAAGAATCTTCTGAGTTGGAGAAAGATCAAGGGATGAAAAAATCTGCACTTGGTTTATGCTACAAAGTTTGTTTCCCTATATTAAGAAGTGGTCTATGTGCAGCTAGTTGCTGCAAAAAAATTGAGAGTCAATAAAAGAGTGTCATGGAAACTCAAGGAAACTTCTTGTTCTATGGACAACAGATCATTCTAAACAGAAGTTTCCATACGAAATCTACAGGAACATATTCTCTATTTGTCTTCCATTTATGATGCCATTATTTTCCATTTCTCAAACACTTGAATGCTGAAAATAGCAGGTGGATGATGATACTATTCCCTCTGGAAGCCAAAGTACAAGTACTGTAGAAGCGGACAACCTACAAGAGGCAGATAGTGAGGATTACTACGGAGTTTCTCCTAGAAAGCTAGAGAGAAGGTTGCATGAGCTACTGGAAGAAAGACAGCAAGAACGGATTGCAGAGCTTGAATTTGCTTTGGAGTGTGCAATGAGCAAACTCCATGAGAAAGAAATGGAGGTTTCATGGTGGAAGGACACTGCACGGCTCATCTCTCAGCATGTTCCTGAAGCCACACGCTTGTCAAGTTAAGTGCCATGGTTTCAAGAAGCCATTTCATCAAGAAAGTCTTGATGTAGCACATATCTGTAAATCTTTTGTTCTTTTTTTCTTTGTTATGCTTCTTTTCTATTGGGTGAAACAATTTGTGGAGTATATACGGAGGAAGACAAGAAGATGAGAAGATGAAAAACAATGGGGAGAAATAGGATTGATTTTGTTGTATAGGGTGTTAATGCACTTATCTAGTGATGAATTTGCGGTTTTATAGTTATCCTTGTATACTTTGCTGCACTCTTTCAGTAATTCCAACTGTGAAAAGAATGTAGTCATTCCATCAAAAATTAATATTTGAATTTGAATTCGGTTAAATATTTGAATATTTGATTTGACTTGAATGTGACCAATTAATTGTTTTAAGTAATTGATAAAATATATAAAATAAATATTTTATTTGTATAAAATATATAAATATATAAATTATTTATCTAATTTAATTATTATATAAATAATGTAAACAATTTATATGTTTAAGAATTAAATAATCGGTTATATATATTATATATAAGAATTCAGATATGACCTGATTTGATTCTGATTCGATAATGTCAAATTCGAATTCAAAATCAGATTTTGCAATACTGTTGACACCGGAGCCATGATTAACTTCAATATTGTTGTGTGGGTTATTTACATCAATGAACCCAAACATCTCGGACCAGAACCAGAATAGTAGATTGAGTTATGGCAAGCCGGCCTTGATGAGTCACATCCACTAGGTTTTATGATGCGGCACTCAAGTTTAATTGGTGAGTCATGAGTGGTGACTGTATGCATTCACGTGACAGTCACGCTTAAAAGGTCAAATGATCAGAGGGCTAATAATTGTTTCGTTAAGTCAGTTCTTTACGCTGCGTAGATATTTTGGGCTTGGGCTTTGTGTGGTATCCATCAACCAATTGCTCCACACTTTGATATGCACCATTCCATTTTCTTACAGATCCGAGGCGTTGCACAAGCGATCCGTTTCTTGCAAAATTGGGAATGTCTTGAGAAACGCAAATAATCCACTGTATTATTATAAATTTATAATAATAATTATATGACATTTAAGAATCAGCTTTTTAAAATTTCAATATGTTACATCACCTTGGCTATTCAAGATTACGAAGGCGATTCAAGAAACTTCAATTCTATGTTTCAAGAAATCCCTTCTTTCCTGAACTCTTAAGCTAATCATTACAAAAGTGTTTTCTTTTTTTTCAAAAAAAAAAAAAAAAACAAGCTATCAAAATGCAGCTTTTTTTTTACTGATTTCATTATTTCTGATGTGGCACTAAATCCACAGCAGCAGAATTGAATCTCTTGTGAAACGCCTCGCTCCCAAGCACCGTATTTGATATGCCTTTCCACGGGTGGCACCAACCTGATGGAGATTTCTAATTTTCCATCTCTAATGCGCAAAATCCTTGTCAATGTTAAATAGGCCTTTTTACAGTGTTAAGGGAGTTACAGCGGGGCTGGCGATAAATACGAGAATTAATTTATGAATTCTGAGGTGGAGTGGACTGCAAAAAGGCCTATAAAACATTCATTTCCTTCTGTCAAATAATTTTGCTTGTGTCCGATTCAACTCATTAAATAATAATAATAATAATAATAATAATAATAATAATAATAATAATAATAATGCTTTTTAGAATTCTAAAAATTATCTAGAATTTTCATGTGGCCAAGAAGATGAATGGGGATGCAAGCTGATCGGATCAGATTCAAATATACCCTGATTCGACTCCGATCTAATACACTGTAGATTTGTTCCAATCAGATCTCATAAATATTAATTCAAATTCAAATCCTATCAGGATGTCGGATATCCAAATATGAACCGATCTGATTTCATTTTTAAAAGTTAATAAATTATTAAAAGGAAGAGAAAATATAATAGTTTAAATAAAGAAAAATAAAAAGATACAAGCATTTTTCAACTAATTTTATCATATATATACATGTTGTTTCTAAAAAATAAATAATATAAAAAATTGCAAAAATGATATATATATATATGTATATATATATATATATATATATATATACTTCTGGATCGGATAAGGGGTGATTTGATGTGTAATGGGATCCACTTATATGATCTAATCTGATTTGAAGATCCAAAATAGGGATATCCAAATCTGATAATTCAGAATCGTACTCCAGATCGAATTAGATCATGATCCAATCCATTTGCACCCCTAAAACCTACTTCAAGTTATATTCTCATGATGGTTGACAAAGCCACACCATGAAAAAGTGTTAAGCAAATGCTCACAACCACGTCCATGATTGCAACAGAATTTGTAGCGAAGCTATAAATCATACTTTATGGTTTTAGAATTTCATCTTAGGATTAAAAGTGATGGATTCAATCTCTAGGCTAGTGTTTTTTATGTGACAATTATACTATAGTTTTGTTTTCAAGGCTCAGTTTGGAAAGAGTACAAATACAAATACATACAAATCTATACAAAATAAAACAAAATATAAGGTTTCGCGCTCTACATATTTATATTTGTAGTCTTTCCAAATGGAGCCCAAAGAACAAAGTATACAGAGCTCAAAGCATATATAGACATAAAGTATCTTATTGTGATAGAGAAGATACGAAATCAACTAGTGCCCATTGAGCACATAAGAACACAGCAGATGATTGTTGATCCTATGACTAAGGGCTGTCATAGGATTTTTTTGGATAATGGAAGTTTGTATATGGCTCAATTTTGACATTTGTAATTGTGATAAGATATAGTTATCCGTATTTATTCTTTTCCATGTTAGTGAACGTCTGTATGGAAATTATTTTTGGTTGTATCCTATTATGACACAATTTGGGCCCGTGCATGGCATGGCTAATTTGTTTGAAATTTGGCTATGTCATGGAACTTGGACCCTAGAGTTGGGTGCGTGAACATTATAACCATGTAATAATGTTTGTTAATGCATTTCGAAACTCCATTGGTTATAATGTTTTTCATGCAACGAGTGGTTGTTTTTCCAAATTAGAGTGTACATTCAACAATCTTTCTAAGGTTGATAATCTAAGAGATTACTTTTCAGTTTAGAATGGTTGTTTAGACCAAAGTGGGAGAATGTTTAGAAGTTGGTCTAAATGGGTGTTTGAAAAACATGGATTGTTCCATTCAAAGTTACTTAGTGAGAAATTTTGAGCCCCAATTTTAGGGTTTGTTCTTTTTTGGATTTTGGTTTCCATTGATTAGGATATCTATATTCTTTTTTTAGACATATATGGGGTTCATGGAAAGTTTATTTTTCCTGAGATATCCATCTCCTAAGTGGATAAGTAACTTTCCCACACGAAAGGAAGTTGCCAACATTTGGACGGGACAATTGTCTTATTTATCCAGGAAATAAAAGAATATGGGTAAATGCACTTACCCGGGTAAGTATTTCCTAGGAAACACTTACCCTGGTAAATGCATTTACCCAGATAAATAATTTCTAGGGCCTCATAGAGAAGAGGAGTTCTTGATGGGAATTGGGAAGGCTCTTTTAGTTCTATAAATAGGGAAAGGGTCCCAAATCTCACACATAAGTTTGCATAAACAAGAGAGCCCATCACTTAGTAAAAGAGAGCAGTGGAGAGAGTTAAAAACCATTCCTCAAGACCAACATTCAAGTGTACGTGATTTGGATTAGCGATGTATGGTAAGTCCACATCTCCCTCCTTTAGTTATTTATATATTCTACACTAGTGGGGACCCGTACGTGCACGGGATTTATTAAGCAAAAGCTAAATGATAGAAATAGGTCATTTACTAAAATACCCCTTATAGTTTCATGGATTTACTAAAATCTACCATATATTTAAAATTTTACTAAAGCACCACTTATAATTTGCAATGGATTTAATCAATCTTCCATTAGATGACAATGGAAAATGATAGTGTTGACCCTAATGTTCATTTAAATAAATTTAATCAAAAGAAAATAAAAATAAAAAATACCATTTTTCCCTTTATAAGACATGGGCAACCATTGTATTGGCTATATTTGGTTAATTTTGTTTTTTGTACAAAAAAAGTGTTAAGGGTATTTTTGGAATAAAAGATCATGGGCCTAATGGCAAAACAAACACTTGTTAATGAAAGGTTGACTAAGTAAATAAGTTGTAAAATATATGGGATGTTTTAATAATATGAAACTTATAAGGTGGGTTTTAGTAAATATGAAAATTATAAGGTGGGTTGGTTTTCAGGTCAGTTGGTTTCAGCTTACCAACTCCCCAACCTGGCCAAGTCAATTTCGTTGGCCAAATAACCTATGACCGAACCAAACCAACTCATGAACACTCATAATTTTAGCTAAATTAATAGTCTCATCTTTGATAAATAACAATAGTTTAATCTCCAACAATTATTGAAAATTTATAACAAAAATACACAATTATTGAAAATATATTGATAATAAAAAATAAAATAATTACTAAAAATATATTAAAATAGTCAATAAATAGTATAATCTCAAATAATAGTTTAGTTTCTAATAAATACTAATCAATAAGTTATAAAAAAATACAATAAATACAAAAAGTACAATAAATTAAATTTAAAAATTTCATTAATAGTAGTTTAATCTTTAATAATTATTGAAAGGTTTCTATTAAATAACAAAAAAAAATAAATTTATACATAATCATTGAAAATACATTTATCACAAAAATAATAAATAATTATTGAAATACAATAAATTTTAATTTTAGTATATATAATTATATAATAAATACATGTTAAGAGTTTAAAATTATTATTAATAAATATTATTTTTTTAAAGTTATTTTCTTAAATTATTACTTGATATAAGTGAAATTAATTATTTATAATATTATATAAAAATATTAAATTATTATTAATTTCAATATAATATTATAATCATTTTTCTACTTTTCAGAATTTTTTTAATTTTATTGCATAATTTCTTTATTTTAACTATTTAAAATCTAGTTATGTTAAATATTTTGTTATTTAAAATGATCAGTTATTTAAATACTTAAATAATATGTAAATATTTAAATTTTAAAATATTAGTTATTTATGGAATTTAATTATCCATAAAATCATAATTTATACTATTATTACATAATTTCATTATTAATTTTATAATATATTAAGTTATTACTAATTTCAATATTATTTTATAATTATTTTTCTTCTTTAAATAAATTTTTAAAATTTATTACGTAATTTTGTTATTTTAACTATTTAAAAT